ACTTCCAGTCCCCAGAACACCTCTGAGTATTTCACTATCTTCCAAGATCGACAGGGCTCTTGGTGCCTCGGTACAGTAATTGAATCGCTCAATCACTCCCCCTTACTCCCGTAAGGATACAACCCCTCTCAAGAGTCCACACTCTTGAGTGTCACTCAAGTCTTTAATAAGAGTAGTAATTGGCTCTCTTACAGAGTGAATTTAATGATAAACACTGATGCTCGGTAGTAACGTGAAAACAGAGTATTGAATGCGTAACTAAATAATCGCAGGTGGTAGTTCCGGTATTCAATCTCTTCATTAATGCTTCTTCGCGCCTTTTATAGTTGATATCGTTAAGTAGCCGTTAGACGGAAGAGCTTCTAGCCGTTGTGACTTCGTTTGCGTGTTTCGCTGGTTTCAACGGCTCCGCCATTAATGCGTCTGAGCTTCTGACACTGTAGGTCGCAGTCTACGTAATCCCGTTGAAGAGCCGTTGCCCTCGTTTTCATTAATCTGCATATTTTGAGCAAATGAGAGTTTTGTGGTGAATGCTTTAATCTCGAACACAGAGAGAAAACCAATTTATCATTCAAAGATTTGTGACGAAATCATTTATCAGTAAGAAGAACAGAAAGTCATTCTGGTTTAGTTTGATCGAAAAGATGATCGATTACTTGATGATAGATCAAGTTATCGATAAACAGAATGAAGACTTTTCGAATTAGATCACCAATATTATCGATCAAGTGTTGGATCATTGACTCTAAGAATTATCATAGAAAGAGGAAATCGTTCCATGATCGAACAAGTGATCGAACATATGTTTGATCGAACAGATTATCGAAATTAAATGTTATTGAAATGAAGCTTCAGTCATTGATGATCGAACATCTTATCGATAAATGTATGATGGATAATGTTATCGATAAACCATGGGTATGTATATATTCAATGAAAGACACAGCTATCTGAAATGATCGAACAGTTGATCGATCAATGAACATTCGAACAAGTGATCGATAAAGTGAAGAAAGAAATTTATCCTTGTAAGACAGAGAAAATGATTATCGATCACGTTTTGTGAAAACATGAGTTCCAGGGAATTGAATGATCGATCATATTATCGAAAAACCAGTGATCGATTTGGTGATCGAAAAATAGTTCACCATAACTTAATGTGAAAATAGCAATCCTTAGACTCTTTATCGATCATGTTATGTGAAAACTTATTTAAGCAAACAAGTTAAATTTATCGATAACATTATCGATAATTTGGTTGTAGGAAAAACTGAATAAGAGTAGATAAGGACATTGATTATCGATCATGTGATCGATAATTTTATGATCAATAAGTTTATCGATCCATCTGTAAAGATGATTACCTGCATTCAGAGAGTTAGAGCATAAAGTTCGAACACGTAATCGATAAACAAATGATCGAGAATATGATCGATAAATTGGTAACAGAATTAATGTGCAGAACAAGTAGATTATGTTACCTTTTATCGAAGTCGTTATTGATGACTGATTTATCGATCACTTGATCGATAAATACACTTCAGATTTGGTTCTCTTATTAGTAACTCGATTGTTTACCTGATATTATCGATCAGTTTATCGATAATTAACCATACTCTTATGTGATTTTTACGATAGCGATAATCGATCACTTTATCGATTAATTGCTCATCGAATAGTTCTTCGATCCGAATACCTACTATAAACCTGATTTACATTTGAGCAATTATCTGAAACCTTAGCGATAAACAATTGATCGATCAGTTGATCAATCAAAATACTTAACCTTGATATTCTGACTTTGTTATCATCAAAACTATAATCCTAACAAACTTCACGCCATAATCGCTTGCCAAGGTCCTTATTATTTCATTTGGACACTTATCTGTGTGATCCCTTACCTCCTCAATGATAATTGATGATGTTAAAGCTGCTCTTCCACCATGTGTAACTTGCATAATCTCTTGGCCATTATGCACATGTTTATTTCTGAGTTAAGTTACAATGGAGAAAGGACTTCTCTTCGCAGCTACTCTTGCTATTATCTACCAAGGACAACCTGCAACATTGAATTTCACATGCACACATTCCTCACAATTTTTGACATATTTGTACTCAAAGTTTTCTACAATACTAAACTTATATACCGCCTTTTTGAATTCTGTAGCATTTGCAAAAGTTTGCTTCTTTCCTAACAACAATTCCTTCCACTTCACAGTATCTATCTCGGGCATGGGTGTTGGTGCAATCTCTCCTATACCTACTAGCCTCACATGACATCCCCCACTGCCTTATCTTACACAGTTACCCCCATTTTCGTGACAAATAGTTTCGTCCATATTATTCCGGCTACTTGACAAAAAAACACCTTTGTTGTGACAGTCCCAAGAAGTTGTTAATGCTGCATGCATAATTATAACTTTTGTTAGTAAATTCACAACAACAATATAACAAATAACAACTACAATAACCATAAAAAAACATGTCTCACATTTGTAAATCATCCATTACTTTTGATGTACTCTCCTTCAATGCTAGATACACATGTGCGCTAGTGTCATTGTATTGAAAAAGACTATCAACTTCACTATCATCAACCAAATCTACTAATGCCTTATTATCGAAGCTGACTGTATATTTCATGTCACAAATATTAACATCTATATCAAACCATCCCAATATCATTGACCTCAACTCTTCATGTCTTATCTCCTATTTTATCGTTTTAACTCTTACACTCCCACCATTGTATTTCATTTCATATTCAACATTGTTAACAAAGTTTCCACCAAGATGAAAAATCAAAGCAAGTGTCTTTGAATATATTGACCCAATATTGCATGTCATTTTGCATTATACCTTGCAACAGACAAGGAAAATATTTCATCACAATGTCATCTTTATAAAAAGGATATTTCATAAACCCAACACAACCACTTTCAAAGTTAACAACTTCAATAGATCATTTCACAACTCCACTTTACCTATTAACAACACACTTCACAATGTCACTATTATTGATATTCAGCCTTCCTATATACATGATCATCATAGAGCTTCTTCTAATTTCCCTCAACTACCATCTGCTATCTCCACAAATAGATCATTATAAACACTGTCCCATACTAACCTAACTCTATCCCTCACTAACCAACTCATATGTTCCAATATCTAACCATTCCCATAAGTTAAAAACAACAACCAATAGCCCAACACGAATCAACTTACGATTGCTACACTATCGTCTCCCTCTTAGACTGACAAAACTAACTTGCCCAGAACCCTAATGTTATCTAACACTAATCAACTCATATGTTCAAATTGCTGACTATTCTCACACCTAAAAAAAGAAAAACCAACACCCCAATATGAAGAACATACGCCTTACGTAATGCCGTACCTTACCTCCTTTGAACCCTCAACGACTCATGTAGAACATAGGACCACCAAAATGAAGAAAACAGACCGCAACAATCATAGTAGGAGGATGAAAGAGTCATCTGATTTCAAGAAAACATTTTACCCTTTCGAACCACCACCTTCTCGTTACCCTTGAGCAGCTGAAATTGTGCACGTTTCTCTCTTTTCCTTCCTGCCTATCGTCGTTTGGTATGCAGCTTAATGTGTTGCCCATGTGGTGCCCGCATTTTGTATATGGTGAGAGCAGTTTGGTCTTTTTATTTAACAAAATAATACCAATTTGGTCTCATGACACCAAAACGGGATTTTTCAAATTGGGCGGACATTTCTAGCATTTTGAAATTAAAGTATCATTTTTCTGTCTTTTTCCCTAAAATTTTCTCAACTTATAATATTTTGCATTGTTTTACTAAATATAAATGATATATATCTTTTTTTATTTAGTAAATAATATATTATAAATTTTTTTTGGTTATTATATACTTTTCTAATTCTAGGAGTTAGTTAGGAAGTTAGTTAGAGTTCTAAAATAAGATTTTAATTCATTTCATCTTTTATATTTATTATAAATAATTTATTTAATTTATAAATAAATATATAATACTACCTTGTGTAGGGTTAGCTAGGAATTAGATTTGATCCTAAATATAATAACTCAATCGATTTTGTCTTCCAAATTTATACTTTTTTTTTCTTCAAAATATTCATATTAATTGTAAGCTTCCTTAGCAATAAGTAGTTCTAATACACACATACATTAAAGAGAATAGTTTAGAAAAATCAATATATATTTATTACAAATAACTAACGTAACTAATTTTCTTAATATCTCCAAATTATTTATGTAACTTTTGTATTAAGAACATGAAGTAGTATAATAATTACAAGTATTTTAGAGATATCATACCATATTTATTAGAATTAAATAATTTATTTATCTTTTCCAATCTCCCAAATTAATTTAATAGCTGATATATTTTGGAGGAGAGGAATATATGATGATATAATAAATGTTTTTATGATGCGGGCAAAATTCTTATTGAGGATAACTTTTTCTTTTTAGCCAGTTTGTTAACGCTAACTAATCCATGTACAAATCAAATTATTCACAATGTTGATCTCATTCTTTAGGCCTTGCGTAACATATAAAAGAAACATGTTTATTGTTTAATTTATAATATTTTTTTATTATCGAACTACAGGGAATAATTATAAATTTATAATAATTAAAAGTACATTTAACTAAAGAATTAAATATATATTTTAGAACTCGTAACTTTTATTTAGTTTGAATCCTTAAATTAATTATTCTAAATCAATAAGAATTAAGAAATCATATTGGATGATAAAAAACGAAAAAGAAAAGCAAAGAACCGCGATCCCAAGTAGTAATACCACTAGATACATCACATCCGTCGATTCCAATTCATCAACGTTCCACAAGAACCCAGTAGCAAAGCCACGGATCAACATGTGCATCCGTCAATAAGCAAAAGATCCAACGGTTCTCATCGACCACATTCACATTCCTCAAGAGTCACCGTCTTCCCGCAAGATTGCTTCCTCATAAATACTACCCCTTCAGGTTCAGATCTTCGTAATCAGGCTCTCTTGAATCTTGTTGGGTCGATTTCAGAATCAATAACCTCATCCATCAACAATGTCGGGTCGTGGAAAAGGAGGCAAGGGTTTGGGAAAGGGAGGAGCCAAGAGGCATCGTAAGGTGCTTCGGGATAACATTCAGGGAATCACGAAGCCTGCGATTCGGAGATTGGCGAGGAGAGGAGGCGTCAAGCGAATCAGCGGTCTGATCTACGAGGAGACTCGTGGAGTGCTCAAGATTTTTCTGGAAAATGTGATTCGTGATGCTGTGACTTATACAGAGCATGCTCGTAGAAAGACCGTCACTGCGATGGATGTCGTCTATGCCCTCAAGAGGCAGGGAAGAACCTTGTACGGATTTGGAGGTTAATGAAGGATTTTTGGTGAACCAAATTGTGAAGATTTGGATAGATTTAGAATTAGAAGTGTGTCTGGGTTGCGATTGATGAAGTAATGTTTGTAATGTATTTTGGGGATTTAGGTTAAGGATTTGACTTTAAATGTAGAATTCGATAGTGTTACGTGTCACTTTTTCTTAATCAAAATTTGTACAAACTTTGTTGCAATTCCGCATTTGATCGTATTCAGGCGTTTAATTGGCTTCTGAGTATTGAATTTCTTCATTACGCTCCGATTTTGGGTTTAGTTTTTAAGGAAACTGAGGAAGTTTGTATCGCCGGACAATATTATCTGAATCTTTTGTTGAACTTTCTATCGGTTGCGTTTTGAATGTTGGGGGTTCTACTGGATTCTTTTTTTATTTTTTATTTTTTCCAGTTAGGGATTAGGGATTTTAATTTTAGGAGGTGTTTGTATAAGCATTTTAACGCTGCAAGCTATGATTTCACCGCAAAATTATTCAAATACTTATATATTTTGATTTTTTGTTTTAAATCATGGTTTGAGATTGGAAACAGTTTTTAGAAAAAGTGAAAAATTTGAGCTTGGAATGTTAAAAGAGCAACTGAATACGAATAAAGATACTCTTCAGATTTAAAAGCAAAGCAAAAAAAATACTAGATGTTTATTTAATTTTTCTAAAAGTTTAGGAAAATTGTAAATAAAAAAGGAGAAATTGTAAAAAAAGATTTTGAAATTGTAAAAACGTAAATAGGGATTTTTGACAACTTCATTTTGGGTTTTGACAATTTCAAAACATATTATTCTTGTCAAAATTCAAAGTGAATTTGTCAAGGGTTTTTATCTGTATTTTTACAACTTTCAAGGTTTTTTTTTACAATTTTTCCAATAAAAAACTCTCAATATGTGAAATTATAATTTGAGATTTTCAATTTAAAAAATAACAGATAAAAATTTGATCTTATATTATAAATATAAAATTTTAGTGAAATATCTGAAATGCCTTTCAGTCAAATTGTAATTTGGTCTATTGAAGTTGTCATTTGTTAAAGTAAATTTATTATTTCTTATAATCAATTTGTTATTTGGTATACCTTGAGCTAAGTTATAATTTAGTCTATTGAAATTGTTATTCGTTAAAATAAACTTGTCATTTCCTATAATTGGGGCTTGTCATTTGATTGATAAGCGTTTCAGACATTTCACCAAAATTTCATATTTGCAATATGAAACCGAGTCTTTATCTGCTATTTTCTAAATTGAAGGTTCTAAATCACAATTTCACATATTAGGAGTCTTTATTTACAATTTTTTTAAAAGCTTATTTATTAATCTTATATTTTATAGGAAAAATTTTATATAAAGACTCTTGAAATTATCAAATTACGAAATAGTTATTTAAATTTATAAAATTATGACCTTAAATATAAATTATAAAATATAAGGAAAAAAATACTGAAATGTTCTCAATTGTTGAAAAAAGAAAGCTCCCATCCTCTCTTTCTTCCTTACTTCCTCTCCCTCCTTTCCTTTTTCTCCCTCATTCCTTGTCCCTACCCAACCTCCCTCTTCGTGCTCTTTATTTCATTTTTGAGAATTTTTTCCCACAGGGTTTGAACTCCAAATTAAATGTGCTTTTACGTAAAGTTTGATACAAAATCAATGTCGTGGTTTGTCATCAGAAATAAGCAAGCAAATTTCCTAGATGCCCTAGGATTCACCTAACCTCCATTATTGACTTCCTATACCCATGAAAACATGAAAAATATGATTTAAAATAGGTGCAGAATAAAAAGAAGACATCTTACGCTTTTGGCAACTTCAAAAACACTTTTTCGTAAAACGAGACAAATTCCTTCACATATTTACTTCGTAAACTGTAAAAGCACTTTTAAAACCATGGTTTGATTTCCATCCAAACACCTCCTAAAACAAAAAAATCAAATCAAGGGCTAAACCGACATTCACGTCATCATAGAGATATATATATATATATATATAGAGAGAGAGATAGAGGATATGATAGGCCCATAAAATGAAAATAAAATCGCTAGAACAAATGTGAACAAGTTAAACATTTAACTTTATTTTAAGTTAATTTTTTTAACACTTGTTATTTTTCATGCTGAATTTGTTATTGACAATTAAATTGTTGAAATGATACCAATTTTGTTATAACTTAAGTTACTATAAATAATTTTTTAATACTTGTTATTTCCTATACTAAATTTATTATTGACAATTAAATTGTTAAAAAATTTTAGTAGAAATTGGTATTATTTCAACAATGTAGTTGTTAATGACAAGTCTAGTATAAAAAATAACAAGTATTGAAAATCTTTTTACGTTAACCTAAGTTTTAGCAGAAATTGGTATTATTTTCACAATTTAGTTACCAATGACAAGTCTGGTATGAGAAATAACAATTATTGAAAAGTTATTTATATTAACTTGAGCTTTAGCATAAATTAGTATTATTTTCACAATTTAGTTGCCAATAACAAGTCTTATATAAAAAATAACAAGAATTAAAAAGTTATTCACATTAATTTAAGTTTTAGCAAAAATTGGCATTATTTCCACAATTTAGTTGCCATTGACAAGTCTAATATGAGAATAATAAATATTGAAAAGCTATTCACATTAACTTAAGTTTTAGTAGAAATTGGCATTATTTTCATAATTTAGTTGCCAATGACAAGTTTGGCATGAGAAATAACAAGTATTGGAAAGCTATTTATATTAACTTAAACTTTAGCAGAAATTGACATTATTTTCACAATTTAGCTGTCAATGACAAGTATAGTATGAAAAATAACAAGCATTGAAAAGTTTTTTTTTACATTAACTAAAATTTTAGCATAAATTGGCATTATTTTCACGATTTAGTTGTCAATAACAAGTCTAGTATGGAAAATAACAAGTATTGAAAAGCTATTTGCATTAACTTAAGCTTTCCTAGTAGCCTGTAAACTCATTGTTCTTGAATTCTCCTTCATACTCAGCTCTAATTGACACAATAGATATACCATTCTCATTTTGAACCTTGTTAGCAAAAATAACAAATACATTAAAAATCTCATCTTTCGAGGAGAGAAACAGAGTCCAAGTAAATCTTAAATAGTTATCAACTATCACAAGAGTATATACGTTTCCACTGAAACTCTTAACTCTTGATGAGCCAACCAAATTCATATGAAGCATTTGGAGTGGTTTTTTAGTTAAGACTATTTTCTTTGATTTAAAAGAGGACTTTGTTTTCCCTTTTGACAAGTGTCATAGATAATATTGCGTTCAAACTGAATTTTAGGTAAGCCAATAACTAAATCTTTTTAGTCAATTTTGAAAGTTGATTCATATTTACATGAGCAAGACGTTTATGCCAAAGCTAACTTTCATCACTTTTACTTACAAAACAATTTTCAGAAAGCTTTGAATCTATTTGAATAGTATAGCAATTACTGTCCCTTAGAGCTCTTAACTTTACATTCAGTTCTTCCTCCTTAAGTGTTAGGTCATCCTTGCTGATGATCATACATTCCTTTGAATCGAAGATTATCCAATCATTTTTATTGGCACTTTGACTGATACTAAGCAGGTTATGACATTGGCCTTCAACATAGTAAATGTCTTCAACTTTCATTCCCTTGTCACTTTCTATTTCTCCAATTTTAGCTATTCTTCCAAATTAGTTTCCCCTGAAGCTTATTTTACCACCTTTGGGTTTGGTTGTAGAGAACTTGTCAGTATCACCTGTCATATGTCTTGAACATCCATAGGTGATGTACCATTTGTTTGTTTTGGATGCCTTAAGACAAACCTGCATCAGAAAAAATCATGCTTTAGGTACCTACATTTTCTTGGGTCCTTTCAAGTTAGTATGGATAGTCCACGATATGTAAGTACTTTTGGGTACCCATTTAAATGTTCTGTAGGTTCCTTTCTTGTTGTGATAACAAGAAGATGTAGTATGACCTTTACGATTACGGTAAAAACAATGTGTGAAAGGATTAGATGAATGAATTGAATTTATGAAGAATGTTAAATATGATTGTTCACCGCTTTTCTTCTTTTCTTTTCTTTTATCCTTAGTAGGATGATATCCTATTCAAGATTTAGCCATTGTGTATCGTTGAGCTCTTAATATTACTTTGAGCATTTCACTGCCCTTTGTAAACTTCTCTAGAGTCTTTGTGAGTTCCCCATTTTTCTTTCTATTTTGCTCACACTCCGTATAGGTTGGCGAGCTGACCTCCTTCTGCTTTACTTGTTCTTCTAAACTTTTGATTTTCATCTTTGAGCTTACCAACTCCTTAGCTATTCTTACTAATTTGGAATGTAAAGCATCGTATTTAGACTGTAATTTATCATAGGAAGCTTTAGAAATGATTACCTCATCGGTTTCTGAATTTTCATCTTCTTGTGCTATGAGACAAATATGTTGGAAATTGTGCCCTAGGGGCCAATCATTATGTTATGAACATTGTTGATTTATGAATTTATTGATTACGTTATCATATTATTTGCATGTTTACTGTGATGACTATCCTTGGATAACTCATGATTTATCCTAAATGTCCCTGGTCAGTCATCTATGTGGGAGTAGAGATGAAATAAGACCAGTATGACTTTAAAGATATATAGAGATATAAATTAAAGTCATAGGCACATGTAAGAGTACAAGGTGTTGGACTGACCCGCTATGAGAGAGCTGCATTGGTTAAGTCATAAGCTTCTCTCATATACAAACCATGTCACTGTGCCCTTTGACCTGAGATCATCATGGATTCCTACATGAGAAAAGCTCAGCTTTGACCTAGTCAAAATTCACTTTTGACCGAGTGATCATAAAGACTATGTTCAGGCTTAGTGGTTTTTCATGCGGAGGAATGTGAATGGTCAAGATGGAGTTTGTCCCTCACATTCGTAGAGAGATATTACTGGGCCCCTCGATGAGTGAGTCTGAGAAATGTATGGCCATACTATAATGGAAAGGTAGTTCCGTTTCTATACTCAAACTACTTAGGGATCGAGAAAGTAATGGTCATGAATAGGAGGATGACGTTCTCCATGCCTCATCCATGACCAAAATGTCGTGTGACAAAAAGGGACGTGATATGGTTGTATGAAAGGTTACATCGTTCAACGAACCTCATATGTTTTGGGTAGTCATGATGTCTTGCTAGAGACCGCTTACGACTTGTGAGTCATTATAGGTAATGGCCCACTGCCAACTTCATATGGGCCT